CACAATATTAACCATACATATGGGCAGTTTTCTGAAAAGTTCCAATTCATTACTCAAAAGGACGTTTGAAATATGGAGAAAAATAAATTTTGGTGCAATTCATATTTTGGAAAAAAATGGTAAAAAATCACATTTTTGGCTCAAAATTGCCATTAAAATCATCACTAAGCTCATTAAATGTGGTATCATCTTGTAGAGAATTTAATTCCCTTTGATACCACACACATGGTGAAAGCAAGTTCTATTCAAACGATATCTTAAAAATTGATCATCATTAGTTACACACGGTGGCCATTTTGAAAAATGGCCGCCATTTTTTTTCAGCAGCATATTTTCAAGGTTGTCCACCTGGAAGTTGTTCGGGAAGGTCCCCTGAACACGTTGATACCAAACAACCTTTTATAGCATCCCGGTTCTGGTTTACCTCAAAAATGGGGTTTTGCCCCCTGGGTATATTAGTATATTCATGATAATTGCGTCTGCATACAAATAATTTAACCCGGTTTACGTGTCTGCATGAGAATCAATCCAGCTTACGTGTCTACACGGAAAAATAGTGGCGCTTATGCATCTATATACAGTAAAAACCCGGCTTGCTGGGGTTGAAAAGCTCAGCTGTTTGAGACCATATTTAGAGACGATCGAGTCAGACCACAAGTTGACCTTGATTTTTGTTTGTACAAATCCTAGGTCAGGGGCGTGTACAGGATTTGTACCAGGAGGGGTCTAACCGTAACCCAACCTTGCGAGCACGCGAAAGGGGGGTCTGGGGGTCTTCAGAAATTTTTTGAAATTAGACCCTCTTAGATGCGTTTTCTGCGCGAGCAGGGGGAGGGTCCGGACCCCCTGGACCCCCCCCCTGTACACGCCCCTGTAGGTTCTCAGACTTTTTCAAGGCCCCATGTACGCCTAGTTGTAATACTCCCGTCTCTACAATGTTTCGGAAAACACGGGGTTTTACTTCGTCTAGAGTAGACGCGGCTAATAACTACGAGCTCCAACGATCGAGCGCATAACGACGATGATGCAGCTAGTAAACATTACACCATAGTGACTTAAACATTATACCTGCTTAACTATAGACTATATAGACTCTTGAAAGGATGACGTAGCTCTATGGACAGCGACCCTCTCTTAATACAAAAGGGATAGTCTAGTCATGGATACCCTACTCATATGTGCATCATAGTACTCTTTGTCAGATCATGACAATAATGAACGTAATCATGACGTAAATAATGAGGTTGGTGAAAATTGCAATTAGCGGAGATTTTAGATGGTTGAATGTGCACAGTCATGCAATTACTACACAATACGTAACAATACGTCAACGATAATTGTAAATCATACTTCCACAAACGGTTATCAGTTACAGCAAACATTTATCGAGAATGCCTCTGCTTCTCGCGAATTCTCGACATGAAATAACGATTTTGCCAAAAAAAATCAGTGCTGGCATTATTTCGCCGAAATGTGCGTATAATCAGGAGCAAATAATCACAAATTAAGATCTCATTTGAGATTATTTACTCTTGGTATAACGTAACGCTTTCTGTTCTATTCAATCCATATGGTTCAGGCACATCATATTCTCTTTGAAATTCGGGTTACCTGTCTTCCTACCTGTCTGTATTGCTAATCGTAGTCAGAACGCACTTTGGTAGGCACGAATAAGCAACCGAAAAAACCATCGAGGGTGATATCTCGACTGTCCACAGAGATTCGTAGTAGATCGGTGCCAGAATCGTAGTAGACCTTCCCGCATGGTAGTTTATATCTATTAAGGCCCACGCACACGGTGCTCAGCACGAATCTCACCTTGTGCGGGGACGAATCTCACCGTGTGCGGGGTCGATTGTGAGTTTTCGGTTTTGCGAGGCGGCGAGGAAAATATCTGTTGTGTTTGATAATTTTGTTCTCGCTAGGCTGAAAACTCAGCATGTGCGGGGGTGTGAGACTCCTGCTGAGCACGAAACTCAGTGGCGGCGCATTTTAATTGGTTCCGCCATTTTGATCGGTCACATGACCTACAGTGGCACCAGCTCGTAAGAATGTGAGATTCCTGCTGAGCACGAAACTCACGCTCCGTGCTCAGCACAAATCTCACCGAGTGCGGGGCCTTAAAGCAGGAGCGGATCTATCTAATCCAGTGTGGTATCCAGGGGCTCAGGAATAGCCTCACGTTAAGACCCGCAGGACCAATTTTCCCAGAATGTGGCAAAAAGTGGTTGAAATATAACAACGTAGGGCCTAGTTCTAATGAAAAATATATAGTCAGAATTCATCTGATTGCATCAGTATTCTCTTGAAAGGAAAGCCCTGCTTCGCTTTTACTTGACATTTTCCTTCTAAAATTATTGGATTTGGCCTTCAAAAAACGTGTACTTGCTACACGCATAAAACCACACTTTGAAGACAACTCGATATCAGTTTGCGAGCGGGATCAACTGCCCCAGTTGTAGCGATACTTAGCTAATGAACCAGGCGGTACACAGACCTTGTACTTATAGCGAAACTACATTGTCTTTATATAATACACTCACGATCCCCCTAAGTTGTAATTCTGTAGAACTAAAGGGATTACTCTACTGCAATATTGAGTGCACAGCGAAGCGATCGCCAACACACGCTGAACGTTGCATAATATTATTATACATTGGGTAATATACCATAATGTATTGCTGCATAATATAAATATGTTATCCTAAGTAATTACTCCATTCGTTGTAAAAGTCATCTCATTCGTTTAACAAATCATCAGAAGATTTTTTTTATTGTGTACTTTTTGTTTTTATTATTTCAGACACAAGGTAGTGCGCATGACGCCGACAAATTATGACCAGGTGGAATTCCTTAGAAGCCTTATGGATCAGGCTTTACCTGTACGTCTTCACAACTCACCTATCTATACGCTAACAATACAGATGCTAACAATAACAATACTCGCATAATATTCGAGTTCTAGAACGTAACAAATCAATATTCTGTCCCATTCTCTAATGCTACCCAATAGGTCACTTTCCACGCTGTGCCCCTAAGTACACACATAGTCAGATTTTCACTAGGCTCATTGACGTATTACAAGGTCGATGCCGCTTGTAATTACCTCCGCCAAGGAGGTTATGTTTTCGCCCCTGTTAGTTGTTTGTTGGTTTGTTTGTTTGTCTGTCAACAGGATATCTCAAATGGTTACGGACGGATTTTGATGAAATTTGGTGGACGGGTTGGTCTTGGGCCAACAATTCGATTTGAACAATAGATTTTGGTGGTGATCCGGATACAGATCTAAATATAGGATTTTTTGTGGGGAAGACTTTGGACGCATTCAAAATTCATTAAAAAAATCCTGGCTCTTTTTTTCAAATTTCTGAAAATTTCATCAAACTCTATATTGGGTGTACCAGCAAGATGGGGGGACTGTTACGCTGTGACGGAGGTTTGCTATTTCCGATTGCTCTTGTTTTAGCTGGATTTCTGGATTTATCCGGGGAATCCAGGACGACCGGTCGACATTCGGATTCCTCCGACAGTTTACGATAGCGTAATCAGTGTACTTAAACAGCACGGACTAAATCCATTGGTTCTCATCGATGACGTCCAGAAGTAAGTAGCAAGGATATCTGAAATTGATGTAAACATTTGCATAGTGACTTTCTTCTGTAATGCTGTATTCAAAGGGTAATATTTAAATAAATAAATGTGTTTTTTTTTTAAATCACAGGTGCATATTTTAATAGGCCGTTCAACCGTTACATCGCTTACTCATACTATATTAACTGCCCATCATTCCCCACCTAATGAGCTGAATTAAAATTTGTTCAATATTAGTTGCCATATGTTTAATACCCATTATGGAGTCATTAAACGCGCGATATATGACGGTTAAAACGAACATTTGAATTTCGTACGTTTTTCTTACAAGTTACAGCAGAATGGCCTTCCTAATAGACTCTTACTCAGTGTTTGCTCCAATCTTGTTGCAATGTAAGGCGAGAAGTAAACGCATGTTTTCATTTTGTCCTCTATTAGAAACACATGTTCGTAGTCAAAAAATGAAACCGTTAAAATAACTATAGGCACATGTATTCGGTACTATACGCAGTTACAGATTCCTTCCTGGCTTTGCGTGTGAATAAACAAACAAGGCGCGTGTGTGCGGTCAATTAAGCTCGGTCACCGTCACAACAATGAGCCTATCCAAATATCGTGATAACGACGCGTGTCACTATTGAAGAAGCTAAATGTGTGATCAAATACCAGCTTAAATTATTATTTTCTATCGTTTTTCTCGTTATCTACCGCGTTTTAAATGACTATTGTTCCCTAATTAGATTCTTTTGTCCTGCCTAAATCCATCTATAATCCTATCTGAAACAGTATAGTGGTAAAATAGCGCGAGATGGAACGCCCATCACTCGGCTAAAGGCAAGAAAGAAATACTTTTGTGTTAGGTGCTAATTGTGTTAGATGCTAAATTGGGATTTAACGGAAAAAATGACAATGAAGTATCGGTGCTTACGGTTTATTTGGCGCTGAATCAAATTTAAGATTTAGTATCTGATTTAAGTAACCTATCTACTCGCTAATTACGCCTCACGATAGCATTTAATCCGATCTCTTATTAGTTCGTTATTGTATGGTTAAACCTGCAACAGAACTCTAGATTTAAGTTAGTATTTTTTAATAAAAGTCACAAATTGGAGAAAGAATTCTTTCACAATGTACATTGAAATGGTCAATCGATCGCCTGCTTGCAGCTTATGGCAATTAGGGAAAACTGACGTTAAGAAAAAAGTTTGAGAATGACTGAAAGAGGCATTACTACATGAATGAACATAAGCGAAAAACTTGTAGAGCACACTCTGAAAGCAAGTTTACCTGTTAAACCTTTGGAGCACACTGTGTCAGCGAGTTTAACTGTTAAACCTTTGGAGCACACTCTGTTAGCGAGTTTAACTGTTAAACCTTTGGAGCACACTGTGTCAGCGAGTTTAACTGTTAAATCTTTGGAGCACACTCTGTCAGCGAGTTTAACTGTTAAATTCTTTGGAGCACACTCTGTCAGCGAGTTCAACTGTTAAACCTTTGGAGCCCACTGTGTCAGCGAGTTTAACTGTTAAACCTTTAGAGCACACACTGTTAGCGAGTTTAACTGTTAAACCTTTAGAGCATACTGTGTCAGCGAGTTTGTTTAACTGTTAAATCTTTGCGCAGACTCGTGGATGAGGAACGTTTAGAGAACCTTGCGACGAAGGCAGAGAGCCGGCATCGGTTTATTCGTAGCGCCGCCGGTAACGAGGTCGACGGACGTGTCGAGGCGGAAATACTGACTCCGTACAACCCCGTCTACTCGCTGAATCCTTCACCGAACGACAGCCAACAATTCATGCTTAACCATTACCACACGAATGACGAGGTGATTGTCATGCAGAAAAGCACGGATGAGTAGATAGTTTAGAGAAATGTGCAATTCGTATGTCATGTTAGCAAGGGCGAGTTTGACAAATTTCACGAATTTGCGTGGATGTTATGTAAAGAGGATAGAGCTATAAAAGCGAATGCCGATATTTTATTGGCCGAAGTGCACATGGAAAGTTTCTGCTCATAAATTTAACAACATTTACTCGTTGAGCGCTGACAGAATTCAATAGGTATTTGTGCCATTAGTTGCCAGAAAAGGTACGAAAATATAAAAACGTTCAGTACCTACATCATGCGCTTCCTAAAATTATCATTGGTATTTTGATAAATTACAATAGATCAACGGAATGGTGTTGGAGCTGGCGGCTAGCAGTCCATTTGTGACAGCATCCTCCATCGGGACCTCGTACGAGGGGAGGCCGTTGACAATAGTAAAGGTAAGAAAAAATTGGTTTGTCAGACAAAGTAAACTCTCATCACTATCTCGATTGCCTAGCAGTAATGTGGGTATTATAGCCAACAGTTAATATCGAAGAGTTTTCGTAGGACCCATTCACGGGAATCGAAATATGCTATGATGTGTATTCACGGGTTGGCATCCGCGGCCTTTCAGCTCTCGGACTGTCAGCGATTCCCCCATAGGGCGGAAGCAAGGAAAATGTCAGCAAGAGAAACAGCTTCGAGCGCATCGTTAAAATTATATGGCTAGAAATTAAAACCAAGCAATTTAGTGTTAGTACCTGTGTTTCTTTCTTTATAGATAACCACTCCAAGCAATGACCGTAGTTTAGTGAAGCCGGCAATATTCCTTGAAGCAGGGATGCATGCCAGAGAGTGGATAGGTCCTGCCGTCATTATCTACTTTATCGCTGCCGTAAGGAAACAATGCGCGCATATCATTCTAGCCTTTAGTCACACATATTTAACGCGAAATAAGAACGAAAATAAGTATTTTAAAGAAACCAATGAAGCACAGATGTGAAGGCCCTATGCTCGACAAATTGGCCAAATGGATATAAACCCAACATTGTAATTAAACGCTTAATCTGAAACCAACCATAAACACTTAAGACATGGTCCAATGTATGTAATCATTACCCCAAATATAGGCCATCTGGGTCGAGGTAATATTTAAATTGCAACATTAATATACAATGCTGTGTGTATTACATTTCAGCTGGTGAATAACTACAACGTGGATCCGAACGTTAGAGCGATAGTTGATCACTTCGATTGGTACCTGATGCCTGTATCAAATCCTGACGGATACGTTTACACTTTCCAGTGGGTGAGTATATAATTAGTGGGACAACAAAGAACAGCAATTCTCAAAAATACGCGTTGATGAAAGAATGCGTTGCTAATTAACTGGGTAGACTTTCTATCAGCAACATTACAGTGCATGATGACTACTAATATGGCGTCCATTTTGTACCAACTGTATGGCAGGCAACTTGTGAGTTGCTCACACAGCATAGCGATATGTACAGGAATGCGTATTATTTACAGCGCGTAAACATACGCATAAAAACATTACATCAATAAATTGGCGTCAAGGTTCTTATTAGAGTTTGTTTCGTCGCCGTTTCATTCCTGAACAATACAGCTATAAACTTTAGTTCACACACATATAGTATGAAAGAAACTATGCACAATATTTCACAAAAGTTATCTAATTTAGTTGTACAAAAATATATCCGCCCATGGCCATATAGGGCCTACAACACGGATTTTCTTAGTCATATAAAACGTTTACAGTAAAGTTATCTAGCCACGCGTGTCAATGTGACGCCTATCTAGAAGCAGTATGTACATTCTGCATGTGCACATACCGCTGTTCATTACACTTGCATTCATTTATTATGTTCTATTTCCCAGGAGAGTAATAGAATATAATTAGACGTATAATTGTATTAATAGATTTCATCAGTGGGCGCGCGCGGTATAGATATATATGTATCGTGACATATCGTACTAAGCGGGAAGGTGGAACCACGTTTACATGTTGCCTCATTATTGATAAGCTCGCTCAAGTTTCTCAAAAAATCCAATACACAAAAATACTCAAAATCAAATACAATACAAGTGACCTAACCTAGCTTACAATAGAAAGCAACTTTATATCGTGCCTAAAAACTCGCTTGGGCTTTTAATATTGTTTTTCGAAATTACCCATATTATATTAATAACAATTATAACTGTGAATAATTAATGGAAGATGGGTGATCGATTCTGTATTGATTTATTAGTATACAGACTTAAATATTTATTTAAAAAAAAATTATTTTTACAAATTAATAAGCAATTGTGACAAGTATTATCACATGAACTGGTATGGGGAAATGAAATTGGCATATATGAATTTAATCACGTGAGTTTCCTCAGATTCTATATGTGGCTAGCTGTAAAACAGCCGTATCATGCCCTTACAAAAAATTAATGAAGGTATCCGCAATGCCATGCTATATACAAGATTAATATATTGCAACTCCAAGGGTAGCGGGAAGGAATAATATATACAGATAATTAATCACTACATACACAACAATCCGAACGCACCCATACAACCATGGTCGCAAGGACGCGCGCAGCTACGCCCATACGCACGCGCACCCACACCAACACGAACGCACGCGCATACACACGCGCACTCACACCCACACGGACGCACGCGAACCCACACCCGCACGAACGCACGCGCACGCGCACACCCACACGAACGCACGCGCACCCACACCCGCACGAACGCACGCGAATGCTTACGCGCACGCACACACCCGCACGAGCGCACGCGAACCAACACCCACACGAACGCACGCGCACCAACACCCACACGAACGCACGCATATGCTTACGCGCACACGCACGCGCACGCACACACCCGCACGAGCGCCGCGCGAACGCAACACCACGCGAAGACGCGAGGCGGCCCACCCACACCGCCACGAGACGCCGCGCAGCACGGCCAACACAACCGCACGCGCAGCCCAGACACCCGCACGAACGCACGCAAATGCTTACGCGCACGCACACACCCGCACGAACGCACGCGCACCCGCACCTGCACGAAAAGCACGCGCACGCTCACGCGCACACGCACGCACACGCAAGAATACCCCCCTCCCCACACACACACACGCTCATACGTACGAAGCCACCCACGCACCCACTCATGTGCATACAGGGATCTCTACCTCCGTTGGATCCTAGCAATGCGTAACCTGTCCTCACTGTCAAAACGCGCGTAGCATAAACCAACATATTCCCTATAGTAGGCCTATCTCCGAAATATCACTGACCCCTTTCTCAAGAACACGTGTACATCTAATACTACTAGGAGTGAATAATAATAGATTCTATACAGAAAATCAATTCTATAGAAGAATAATAGATCTATTATTATTTACTCCTGATACTATCCATTAGCGAACAATTCTCTGCGTAACACGACCACGGCTGCATAATCTTTTATGACGACTGATGCATTACTATGTACTACGAGCGCGGCACACGCTTCCCTTCTGGAACATTCCCGTGTGTTTTCTCGATCTACAGGATCGGATGTGGAGAAAGACTCGTTCGCGAACGGAGGAGCAGGATGTGAGTTCCCGGCGCGCCTGTGCGGGAGTCGATCCGAACCGTAACTGGGACACGCACTGGGGCGGTGAGTGTGCATGCACCTACCTCTATCCGTCCCCCGTCCCCCGGACGCCGTACCGATGATACCTTCAGCCAGCCTCACCCCGACTGGTCGCCACAGACAGCATACCGACGCTACACATACCAACCGTCACTAACTCGTCTACCCATCGTCAGTATATTTCCTTTATCCGACTAACTCTGGTGTGATGTCACATTTGTAATGTAACAATGTGTGTAAATCCGTTGAGCACTGCGCTGACGTACGAGACCATTCTATATGAAGCGGCGCATTCGGGACCACCGGCGTGTTACTCTTATGAATTCTGTGTTATCGAATCTCCGATGCTAAATTAAGCGTGTAATGACGGCAATGAGCGTGTAATTAATGGCGCTATGTTGGCATATTCCGTAAAGATCATGAAATAATTGCATTGAACACACACGTGGGCTTTCTTTCAAATTTCTTCCAAGGGTATAAAATACATATAATTGTTCACGTGTATCATTAATAACTAGTACCGTGAAACGTCTTACCATATGCCACGATACTGAACAAAGCACATGTGACATTCGCAGAATGCTGTGGCGTTTTCAGAAAGAGGAGCGAGTCACAAGCCCTGTTCTATCATCTACGCCGGTCAGGAAGCTTTCTCGGAGCCTGAGGTAGCAGCCATGGCCAGGTTTCTCATGGGTCGCAAAAGTCGAATCAAGCTAGCGATAGACTTTCACAGCAACGGACAAATGTGGCTAACCCCGTATGGATACACGAGACGTTACCCGATGGACTTTGAGGCACAAGTGAGAGCAGTAGATAATATCAGGAGTGAATAATAATATTATATTAATTATATTCTTATTCACTCCTGATAATATCCTCTATCACATATAATATGCGGGGTCGCGAGTACAAATATCAATTCAAATCGGGCATCTGGGATACAATATTCGGTTACAATTCCCGGAACCTTGTTCATGGTTAACTGTCCACTAAGGAGTTTGTGCGTGTGTTTGTGTGCTCGCATGCGTGTGTGTGTACGTGCGTGTGTACATATGTATTGGTGATGATAGGACATATATCGGCACATGCTGCAGATGTACGTGCACCTTTTACTTTTTGAAACAACAGGTCGGTATCTGTGTAAGGCCTATGTTTCCTTGTATCTGGTTCACGGAACGCGCATTATACCTAACCTCGTAATTTTGTTATTCCGCAGCTGATCAATATTATATTATATAATATTTAATTTCGTTAATAATTAAACGTCATCGTTAAATTTTCAGGGCCATAAGCGTTTAGGTAATGTCTCTTAATTAGATAAAAAGTGCAGAAATTCAAAATAGGTGTTTTTATAGCGCATGACCTCCCAGGTCTCAGGAGTGCTGCATATGTAGCACATACACGTGGACTTCGTACGTGGGTCTACACCACGTACACCTGTACGTACGTGAGTCTACACCACGTACACCTGTACGTACGTGAGTCTACACCACGTAACACCCGTGAAGGGTCTACACACGTACACCGCCGTACATGGGTCTACAACACGTAGCACTCGTACGTGCGTGGATCTCCACCACGTAAACCCGTACG